GGCGTTCGGCCCCGCCCCGTGCCGTGGTGTCTGGTTGACCCCGAGCCCCGCATCACCAGGAAGCTTCCGAGGCTGGTTCCTCTGCGCAGCCTCCAGGGTGGCGCTGCGCGAGGGGTCCCCAGGACCACGGCACTGGCCCCGTCTCCCTGGTCACCCAGTTCACAGCTATACCCTTCCTCTCACAGGTTTCGTTGGTCTGCGGTTTGGAGGGTTTCTTTTCTTTGGCACATGCACTCGCCAGAGGAGAAGTGCGAAATCGCCCCTCAGAGGGCTGGCCAAGGTGCGGTTGCTTCTCCACCCTCTCAGGACGGGGGCACACACACATGCTCCTAGCGTGACTTTCGGGACACCAGGTCCGAGACTTGAACCGCGCAGCCAGCCGTGTGGGAATCCAGTGCCTTAACCCCCACACCACCTGCTGGCCCTGTGTCATGGATCGTAAGCGTGTGCATCTCCTCCGGCCACCGTACCTGCTGAGGCCTGTCAGCTTTGGAGACCCCAGCCCCTCGGGGAGCAGTCACGCAGCCTGGGCTCACAGCCAGCTCCCGGCCACCCCACTGGCCACCGCCCCCCTTCCTGAGAGGGCACAGCCCGGAAGGCGGGCAGCCCTGGGTGCCAGCGCCGTCCTGGTCACCTGAGGAGTGGCGATGCTCCCGGCCCTCACACCTCAGTCGGAGAGATGCGCTACATCTTCTCCAGATCATGCAGTCCAGAGCTGGGGTGGGAGCCCCGTCCCCTGCTCTGGACCCTCCCCATCCGCCCACTGCCACCTGGAAGCCTCAGCGCCCCTGCTCTGCTCCCCCATGGGAATATGATCCCTGGTTCTGATGCCTCTCCTCCTGGGCCCCCGCCCCTGCTCCCAGCTGCCAGCAGCACGGGCTCCAGACCCTTTCCCTGTCCGAGGTAACCTGCCCGCCCCTGTCGGCCAGCCAACAGCCTTCCCAGAGGAGTGCCAGTCTCGGCCTGCACGCTTAGAGGTCACAGACCCCTAGGGTAAGCGGTTGCAGTAACGCGTTTCAGACCCACTTCTCTGATTGGATGGCCGAGGGACTCGGCATGCACGCAGGTATGACAGAAGGGGGCCACCTGGAGTTCAGAGGGCGAGGGCGGGTCCTCAGGAGGGCAGCCCCCTGCTCTCTGGGGATCTCCTTACCTACAGCCGGGTGGTCAGAGCCCATTCCCTCCTGGCAGCTGGGAGGGTGCACTCCGGGGCTACTCCTGCTTCGCTTGGGCCCAGTGGGTTCCCGCTCTGAACTCTGTGGCACTCCTCAGGCAGGGCCCGTCCTGTCCCCCCACACACGACAGCAAGCCTGAGGGTCGGAAGCCGGTCTTGCTCGGTGCCTACCCGCCAGAGGACGTGGGAGAATGGGAAGTGAGCACGTGGCGGGTCCGTGACAAGGTTAAGTTGCCTGAGCCCCACTGTCCAAGTGCCACCAGCGTCGCCTGTCCGGCAGGGGCCTCTACGGAGGCTGGGGCGGCCCCGG